ATAGTGAAAAAGGCATACTCCGCCTTAACTGAGTCTCTTGCTAGTAGTAGTTGTAGTATTAGTAGTATTAGTATTAATTTTATTATATATATACCATCCATCTGGCTGGGTTTCCCCAGCTGCTCTGGGCAGCTTACAGCAGCATATATAAAACTTAGTAAAATATCAAACATTAAAAACTTCATGATACAGGTACGTTTCCTCTGGGGGCTTGTGAGAGCATTGTGTTGGATTTACACACACACTCTCTCTCTCTCTCTCTCTCTCCTTATTTCTTTCTGCCTGGCATGATCTGAATGAAGATGTTTCTGGTATTTATAAAGCCACAATGAATTCTATCATTAATATTATTGCCTGTTCCCATGAGGTGTCTTCATGATTCCTCATAAACATTGTTTCATTAATGAAGACAAAGCATAAAAAGTAGGAAGTCAAACCCTAGTGCTTTCATTTTCTTGCTTCTGCATACCAAATGAATAACAAAACATAGCCTCCCAATGTATCCATCTGCCTGCTAAAATACCAACTTTCCTGCCCTGTTACTGCGTTGAACAACTTTGCTTGTATACACTGAGGACTGGAAACAATAGCATTTGGGGCTAGGCCCTCTGAAAAAACATATTTTATTGTAAATTGGATGGAAAAACACATTTTTAATCCAAATCCCGCAAGGGGAATTAATATATGAAGCTGGCTTCCACTTCAGACTCTGCGTTGTAAGCATTTGTGTGTTCACACTAACGCAGAGAGAGAATAATGACTGTATGCAGAAAAAGGAAAAGCTGTGTGGGTTTGTTTGAACCACGAACCTTCTGAATTAACTCTACACACTCATTCTGCAAGGCCTGTTCAGCTTGCATCTCAGGCCACCTTTCCCCTCTGTATTCACCAAGTGTTCTGAATGTGCTGTCCAAATGTTTGCTGTGGGGGCACACACAGATCCTCGCACACAGGAGCATTCACATAGATATAACTGGGGGTGGGAATTATGTTTCAGTTCCTATTTTAATGCGAAGCTACCTAATTTATACTTCCTGAAATAATATATGAACCAAAAAGCACCTATCTTTTGAAATTTGCAGTTTTCTGAATTTTGCAGTGGAGTTCTCCGACCAAACAATGTGTCCAAAAGTGCCTATGTTGAGGAAAATAGCACGCAAAATACACAATATGGGGAAATTGCTTCCAAAATACTGATATTTGCATGTATGCGCAAAATTGCACAGAAATGTGCAGAATTGCATTAAAGTTGTATAATATGAGAAATACACACTAAAATGCTGATTAATTCTCATGAGGCCTTTAAAAAAAAAGTTTTCAAACTGATACAGAAAATTGTAGAATTGAATTTAAGACTGGAAACAAAAATTACAGATTTTTCCATCTCTGACCATAGCATACAGCATCTGCTTTGCAAGGAAAAGGTCCCAGTTCAATCTTCAGCTGGGGCTGGGACAGATCCCTGTAGGAAACTCTGAAGAGCTGCTGTCAGTCAGTGTGAACAGTGCTGGGTAGATGGTTCAGTGGTCAAACCCAGTATAAGGCTTGTTCCTATAGCCTGCTTCTGAACATGAGCATCTGTGGATCAGGGCCAGTGAAGCTAAGATTTCCAATATTTCAAGAATATTTTTTTATTAACTGACCAATCACATCAAATCAAACCAAATTACATAAATTCCAAATTACACAGCCGAATTTTAAATTTTTGTTGGGGGTACCCATATTTTAAGTTCCGAAGGGGATCCAAACAACTTCTTGCTTCTTGCTGCTGTTTTAATGTCCACAAATCTAACCTTATGATGTTCACAGTACTATCCAGTCCTTTCTTATTGTTTTTCCACATCTCTTGTTGTTATTTTCATATATTTTTCCTTTCTCTTTGTGACCTCTGATAGTCTCCACAAGCTGGTTAGAACAGTTTGTAATCCTGCATGGATATTATTATTTTTTATCCAGTAGCCATATCCAGACGCTTTCCATATAACATCACTTCCATACATCAAAACAGACTTAGCGTCATTAATCTTCACCAATCTGCCTCCTTTCTCAAAACCTCTGAGGAGATTCACTAGGAATGCAGTCTGAAAACAAGTCCATTCTTCCTGTTTCTCCAATTCATCGTCTTCTTTCGCAGAGGTCACTTAAATTAGCAGACTTCACTCCCCTTCTTCACTTGAAATATGTGCATTTGCTTCTTTTGTAATTAATTATTCCAAATTGCTGCAGCTAGTGTGCGATCAGAGACAGCTTCCAGGAGAGCCGAGGTCCACACGGGGGCATTCTGCCTAGTGCCCTCACCCCCTTCTTTCGAATTAGGGGGTGATTTATGGGCACAGCAGGCAAGGGCAGTGTTCCCCATTTACTTGGGGCAACAAGGGAGGCTGCCTACTCCGATAACAGCCTCTTAATTACCCCATGTGGGTTGGAGAGATGGTATTGTCAGCCATCTTCCAATGCGCCCCTAGTGGCCCCAAGATTTCCAATATTTCAAGATTTCCCATTGAACTAGTGCAGTGTCGCAGTTAGAGTTTTCGTCAGACAGGATTCAAATCCCAACTCAGCCACAGTTTGGTGGGTAACTTGGAGTATTCATGATCTCTCAGCACAACCAGTCTAACAGGGTTGTTGTGAGGATTTAAGGGAGAGGGGAAGAACAATGCATGTTGCCCTAAGCTCCTCAGAGGAAAGGCAAGATATAAACGTTCTACATAAATACCATTCTTGGATGGGGCTCTGCCAAGTCACAGGGGCTGCAACATCTTGCTTGCAGAATGGTTCACTGCCCCACCATGAAAATCTACTATTTATAAACTCACTGTTTATTTGTTGCTGGTCCAATTAATGTCAAAGAATATGCTATTCACATGCCTCTCTCTGAGGACAGTTGGCTTCTGCCAATTTATTTTGTTTAAGATTGGGGCAGTTTACAAACACATGGTGAAATGTTCGGTTTGCAGAACGTTGACCTGCCAATGCAATAATAAAAAAAAAGAGTATGAAGAAGATAGCTTCCCAAAACTTCAGCAAAATATGCAGAATCTCTTCTTCATGAAGAAAATAAATCTAATTGTGCTGAACAGCATTTCCCTTAGATATCAATTTATAACGATTTTGAACATGGGAAAAATCTATCATATCCCTAGGCAGGTTATTACCCTGACTGTTAATTGTTAGACACCTCATGCCTCGCATGCATTTGTTTATTTTGGCTTCTGTCCACTGCATCTAGTTACATATTTGTCAGCTAAATTGAAGAGCCATCTGCTACCAGAAATCTCCTTTCCACAAGGGGAATTCATCACCTCTCAATAAACCAGCCCCTTAACTTTCTTTGGGGGAAAAGTGAAATAATATTTTCTACTTGCCATTACAGGGAAGGTTTTCCAGAACTCAATTCTTGTGTGGGGTGGGGGTGGAGCACCTTAAATTATCTAATTGTTTAATTTAATAATGCCTACATAGGAAATGGTAAAGATAATAATGATAATAATTATTATTGTGGGCAAAATTCAAGTAATGACACCCATCAACAGAAGCCCTGATCAAGGGGTTCTGCTTGCAATGAGGTTTACCCCCTCTCCTCCCCTGTGCACCCCATGTCCCCCAAATGTCTGGGGGTGGAAGAACCCCCAGAAATGCATGTGGGGGATGGAGAGGGGGGCTAGTAGGTCTTAAACCAAAGCACATACCGATGTTTACATGTCCTGTTGATATTATTATTGCAGTGAGATCAGTCTTCATGGCATTATAAGCAAAAATGACTGCTCCAAGGAGATTACGATCTAAATGACATCTGAGGGTATGGGGAGAAGAGAGGGAAGGAAGGGGCAAAAGGAAGAAAAGGTGAGAGGGAGTAAACGTGCCGATTTCTAACCTATGCTCAGTGGTAGCCAAAGCATGGATCAGTGGTTCACACATTCCACCTTGTGGGGCCCAACTAGATGTCATGGCAACAGGAGTGACTAACCTGTTGTTGAATTGCATTACCCACCTGTGCAAGAAACATAGCCAATGGTTGTGAAGGTCTGTGGGTGTTCTTGAGCACATGTCTCCAGGAGGTTAGAAGGTCATGTGAATGCTCTTTGGGCATTCCAAATAAAGGTCTTTCTCTGTTTCCTGCTATTTCCATATTTCATATGTATCTGAACAGGTAAACAATATGGAATGCAGCCTGTAGGTGCCTGCAGCCTGTAGGTGTGAGGCCACTCTCATTGGCTGTGTTCAGTCATTTTCCATAAGGTGTTGAGATTTGCAGAAAACGAGGTGTTGAGACTTGGTGGCTTTGATAAAGCTGTTATATACACACCCACACGCAGGCACACACTATTTGGAATTTTGTTCTTGCAGGTGATAAATTTGGATTACCTACTTGGCTTATCTCCTTCCTCTGGGTTTTCCAGCGTCCCAGCCCCCCATCACAGGGATCTTGTGCCTTTAACAAGAGCGTGACAGTATCCTTTTATCCAGAGAAGCTATCACTGTATCAGCGTGGTACACAAAGTTTTACTTGCTGGGTTTCTGTTAAAAGCACAAGAACCTTGACGGATATTTTGCTTCTCGTTGGCAGCCTTGCCCTACTGAACACACACTGTAGTCGGAATTAAGTCTTGCTGAGTTCAGTGGGAATAACTTCCCAGATAAATGGGAATAAGGAATGCAGCCCCCACGTATCAAAGAAAACGAGGAACTGGGGTGTGAAAGAGGAGGAGCGGCTAACAGAGAGATGTCAGACATCAAGTGTGTGTGTGAAGGAAGAAGAGTGAGGCTGAGAAAAACATATTGCTTAATTGTGATTTTGCATTTCTCTCTCTAACGGATCCACAAACAAAGGGCTCATGCCGTGTTCTGCACCTGGATTAGCAGATGCTGCACAAAGGTGTTGGATATCTTATTTGCCAATTCACCAGTTCACTGACAAGCCCAGGTTTTGTGTTTGCAGGCATAAAAACAGAGCTGTACCTATGAAGACAATAGCTGGCTGACATTACTCACTTTTCCCCCTTAATTCTGTATTGTTTTGATGGAGCCGTAATGAAGGCAAACATTTCAACGATTGTGTTGAGGCAGACAAATGCACTGTTAAAGGCTCATGCTTTTTCGGCACATTGGATCAAGACAATCTTCCATGGAAAACAGCTGTTGGCAGACCTTTACTAGCGTTGCCATTAGCGAGAGGATTCAAGATCCTCCCTCCCCTCTTCAACCTGGTGAACCAGCTCCCCTTCCTTCTTCAGAAAAGCTTGCACTGTGTCTTGCTGTTTTCCAGTCTTGTGTTTATGACTTTCAGACTGCTGATTTGCTTTGTCTGTGAAATATAATTTTGGTAAATTGAGTTTTGAACTGGACATTTTAAGCTGCTTTTGGAACTTCTTTTGTCGAGCTGGCGAAGGAAGAAGGATATGAGAGAATGAATAAAGAAAGAATTATTCTGAGACATTCCAAATACGATGATCAAAACAGAATTCATATAAGTGAAATATTAGGCTACAATCCCACCCTGTGGTGCCAATGGCTTTTAGGAGGTAGCACAGGGTGTGTGGCTGGAGAGGGGATTTGCCATGGGGAGGGTCCAGAGGGCTAGAGCAGGAGAGGATTGGAGGGTCACAATTGCCCTCCCCCCACCCCAGCCTTAGGTTTGCCATTCCTGCTACGAAAGTTACCATCTGCTTCATTAGAAAGTTTTTTCCATGGGTATGTTTACACTGGCTGCCTTGCTTTCATTCCTGCTAGAGCACCTTGTTTGTCATAGTGAACATTTGGGATATTTTCACACTGACACTAAAACTGCTTCTTTGCATTTCCTAAGCCTGTACTGAAAAGATAAAACTTATACTGAGCCAAACGTGCATATGATTTTTGAACTGTCTCTCTTCTAGTTTCTGTTCCACAGGAACATCTATGCATGCACACAAATGTTATGAAACAATATCACAGGTGAAGTGTTGGGAAGGTTTTATTGAACACAATAGCTCACCAGGGCTCATATTTCTCCCGTGTTAGTATATATTTTCGGGCCTGCACCCTGTAGGCACCCAAACTGCTGCCCAATTCACAAGACTGTGTGTTGATTTGTTCCATGAGCTGCCACAGGCAAAGTCTAAAATATCCCACCAATTAGTTATTCTAGAGTAATTTCCTGCATCTGGGCATCAAGTGAAGTCACTCACAGCTTGGCTCATGAAATGGGTCACGTGATTTGGTTATGAGTAAGCACTATGTTTATGCAACAGTTATTGCACAGGTTATTTTTTGCCAGCCCCCCCCAATGTCCCTGAGCTTTCCCTCAATGTTTTTATTCCTCCCCCCCCATTGCCACCCCCCACAGATACTTCCCAAATAATTTCAAACACAAATGTACAATTACAGGAAAACAGTCCATTGAACAACAGCAATAGGTAAATGCTATAAGTTGGGCTTGCTGCCTTTTGGTCAACTACAGCCAGTCACTTTCCTCATTTTATCCCAGTAGATAACTGGGGTTTCCAGAGCTGACAGGCTGACAGATTTCTTAGCACTTGACCTTGCATTAGGTTTACCTGATATATTATACTGTTTTGTTCAGGTAGAAAGATGATCAGTAGGGGAAACTGAGGTGAGGCACAATGATGGAGTTCAGCTAGCTTGCCAGCAGCAGGGCCAGGCCAAGATATTTCACTCCCCAGGACAGAATAGGTAGTGGTGCCATGCTTCCCTGGACAAAGAGCCTAGGTCTGAAATTATTTTGGCCAAGTTATTTTGGCACCTGAGTCAGCAAAATTCCACGGGCATCTCTCCCTGGGAGATAGAAATGCAACAATAAATCAAACAGTTAACAGTTTCCACCACTCAGAATCAGCTACCTAAGGTGGTTGCCTCATTCCGCCTAATTCTAGGGCTGTGCCAGCTCAGCAACCATGATGGTCAAGAATGGTGCGTTCCAGAAGTTGCTGGATTATAACTCCCATCATCCTTGACCATTGACCATGCTGCCTGAGGCTGATGGGAGTTGGGAGTTCAACAACATCTGGAGGACCACCAATTCCCTATCCCTGTTTCCACTGCCAGTCTGTAATCTAAACCACACAAACATAGTATCTCCAAGAGTGCAAAGATTTTCATTGTAGTCACTGCAAAGAAAGTCATAGCCTGTGACTTTGGTTGTCGAGTTTACCTTTTTTTTTTAATATTCCACAATAACATGCAGGTAAGATTGATTTTAGAGAAACATTCAAATGACAAAGGCCCATTCTGACTTCAGTTTGTCAACTATGGGTGTTGTAGTAGTAGTGCTTTTTAGAAAGAAAGCATATAGACAGCCCTGTTACACCAAAATGACCTCACACATTTTTATTTCTTTCAAAACATAATTGATTGCCTTTTCATATCATATGCATTTGAATTTCTCATACATCATTCACAATGGGTGTTTAATAAACATTTCTCCCTGCCTCCACTCCTATCCTAACAGGGTGCTTTGAATAAGTATTAACTGTGCAGTTAAAAAAACAACCCTGTTAATCATCAACAAGCTGTGTTGCATAAAAACTATTCTCTGTAGCCTTCTCCTAATTGTGGGAGAGACCATTTTTCCATAACAGTGACCTTCAGTAACACCTGGTACCTGCAGCTTGCAAAACACTGGGCTTGAAATCGTATCGTATTGGCTTATCAGCTATCCAAGGTCATTAACTATGTGAACAAGTGGAGTGTATCTTATGTTTCAGAAGGCTGGTGTTATTCCAACATCTAGCTCCCATTCCAACAAAGATATGGTCTCTGGATCTTTAAAAACAGGACTAATAGGCATGCTCCCCCCTTCCCCAAAAGCTTTGCAAGACAGAGCTAATTTACCATGTGTTCTGTGTTGCTGGGAAACGTGTTGTGGCAGCACAGCGAGTTCTCCTTTAAGCAGCTAGTTGAAATGTGCTCAGAACAAAGCTTATGTGCACTGCAGGTTGGCTGCAAGATTATATTTCTTGTGTTTACTGGTTGGCTGCTGTGGGGTGGGGGTGGAACTCTAAACGTGGACAAAGTGGAACTCAAAAACCTGATCCAAAGACATACTATGGACAGGCCCCATAACAGACATATTATGGACAAAAACACATCTTAAAGGGGCTTTCACATACCCAAACAATCCCATATAAATTGCTTCAAAGCCCGGTTCTTTTGCAAATGAGGTATTTTGTTTCTTAGGCTGTAATTCTAAACCAGGGTGGTCCAGAATGTGCCCCGAGGGCCACACACGGACATTGAGCCCCTGGCAGTCCTTGGCAACATTTGACAACCCGCCCCCCCAGCTCTAACGCTGCCTTCCTAAAGCCAGGTAAATGGGGCACTGTGCTTTGTGAAGGAGGTGTGAGGGCTCTGATAGAGTCCTAGAGTCCTCCTCCTCCTTCCCAAAGTTTAGTTAGCACTTTCCCAGCTTTGGGAAGGAGTAAGGAGGGCCCTAGAACCCTTCCAGAGCCTCGTGCCTCCTTCTCAAAAGCCGGAGCATCACTTGGCTGAATTTGGGAAGGCAGTGTGAGGGCTGGGGGTGGAGAGCGTCAAATTTTGGCTTCACTCCCCATGTGTGGCCCATGGATTCCATGTCAAAGTACTCTTGAGGCCCACTTAGTATGAAAAACTGGAGTGCCCTGTCCCAAACACATATTCATTACTGGAGAAATAATAATAATAATAATAATAATTTATTTCTATCAAAATTCATATACATTGCCAGGAACTAAAGTCATGTTAGACAATGTGCACTGTTTGCAATGAATACTTGGCCACGCTTCCAAAGTCATATTCACCTGAAGATTAGTGAAGGTAGCAAAGCAAAGCTTCTGCACTGCAGCTTCTCACTGGCTCTCTGTGGGCAACCTAATAAAGTCTAGCATATTTAACCACTGAATGCTACTAGTGTGGGATGCGGGGGAGAGAATCAGGAACCTGGTTATTCATCAGCAGTGTGGATTGGGCAGCAGCCACCGCCACTGGCATTTTTGCATGATAGCTTCTGAGCTGGCATGCGGATGCAGCCCTGCCATGCTCCTGCAGCAAATTTGATAGCTCGAGAAACAAAGATGTGGTGATGTTTAGTTGGCTACATGGCCAGATGCTACAGATTACCATCTCTCTATGCAGCTTAAAAGCACCACACAGTAAATGGTCATGTGATTCTACCGGGAGTTGTGAGCTTAGCAGCTGCAAATATGCACAGCAATCAGGAAAGGAGCCTTTCTTAGCCCAGGATTTAGACACGCCCCACGCACTGCTGGCACTTCTTCATCTGAAAAAATATATGACTTTTACGAGGGCTAAGGACTCTATTATTTCTAAAATTCTTTCCAGCTTCAAAGTAGCTTAGGAAATTGGCCGCACAACCAGCCAGCTGATCCAGCCTGAAATCTGCCAACCTGCAAAATCAGGTTGTGGGATTTTGTTTTTCTTTTCTGCAGCAACAGCAGCAAAAAGCAGTTTGGAAGACCAACAGGCTGGAGAGCTTATCCAAACAGACGAACACATAATTCATTGGGATACATTTAGTTGGACCCTGTATTTGCTGCTGCTGTGACTTGAATTTCAGAATCAGGGATGGATTCTTGACATGGTTTCTCTTTTGATGGAGAAAATCGGGACGGGGAGGGGGCTATATGATTTTTCTTTGGCGCAGTTGGTTCTTGCATTAAGTAAGCACCCCCACTGCCAAGACCACATGCCATATATTCCTAAGGGATATGTACAGATTGAACAGTGGACCTGTGCCAGTTTGATGGTGGGGGGGAAAGACATGTTTTCCTAGAGGGCACAGTAGCCATCTGTTAAAAAACAGAGCTTCTTTCAAGGTGGTCTTCGAATGATGGCTTCCAAAATATCAGATTCATGCATCAAGAGCTGAGGCACACAAACATATGGCTAAATATGTTTATATATGCAAATACATATTGTTGAGTTGCCAGTATTTTTAAATAGATATTGACTGGGATTGTGACGGTGGTTGCTCTGTATAGATGACTTGGAAAGGGACAGTTTTCTTCTAATAGACTTGGAACGGGTTTCAGTTCCTGACCCATTGAAGCGAACAATGTTTCTATCAGTCATTTTCTGTAAAAATGTGACAGCTAACATTAGACTAGGCTGGGTTGCTGGCTGGACCTGCGCTGCCCACACTGATCCACTTAGGTTAGCATGCCTACTACAGTCATACCTCGGGTTACAGACTCTTCAGGTTGCGCATTTTCGGGTTATGGGTGCGCCAAAACCCAGAAGTACCGGAATGGGTTACTTCCGGGTTTTGGCACTCACACATGCGCACAAGCACTAAATTGCACTTTGCGCATGCGCAGAAGCGCTAAATCATGGCCCACACATGCACAGATGCGGTGCTGTGGGTTGCGAACGCTGCGGGTTGCAAACGCTGTGGGTTGCAAATGTGCCTCCCACACAGATCACGTTCGCAACCCAAGCGTCCACTGTACTTGGGTCATATACCATGTGCATTGTTTCTCCCTCAGTGATAAAGTTCACCAATAACAGCGAAAAGGAAGGCAATTGGCATGATGCAAGTGGTCTCACAATATCAAGCCAGAATTCCACCTGCAGGCACCCTTGGAAGCTCCTGAAGTCAATGACAGAAGGTCTTCGCAGGGCTTTGTTAGAGAATGTCTAACAAAAGCATACTGGTATTTAGGACCCCATGAAGTTACGTTTGGCTTCTAGAAGGGGTTGTTTATTAACACAGAATCCTGAAGTCCTTAACTCTTGACAGTGACCAGATTCTCCAAGAGACATCTGCTGAACGTATGCCAAGGACCAACAATACCTTTCCTAATACGGTAAGTACAGCTTGAGCTGCTGTTCTAATTCTCATTTATTCTGGAACAGGGACGGGTGACTCAGTCAATTTTGGTTTCTCATAGTTCCAATTTTATGTTGGGTTCTCCACATTTCCACACCACTTTGCGAATTTATTTACTTTTTAAAGTCCTTATGAAAAGTGATCGGCATTTTAGTGTGAATTCCTACTGACATACACATTTTTGTATGCAGCTTTGTCTAATATACACACTTTTGCAAAGCACATTTCTCTAATATAATGTGCTTTGTTATTAGTTAATATAGGCATTTTATGCAAATGTTACTCTGATATATGAATTTTTGTATACAGTAGTTGGCTGGAGAAATGTGTTGCAAAATTCAGAGAATTGCAAATTTTGAAGGATTGCTGCATTTCAGTTTTCGTATTGTTTTGCAAAGTGAGAATTAGGTGTGTTCGCCTTTATATGTGAACATAATAAAAATTCTCATCTATCCCTTATTGGGAGTAATGGCTATTGAAATCAGTAAAGAGAGTTTGGATTTGATATCCCGCTTTATCACTACCTGAAGGAGTCTCAAAGCGGTTAACATTCTCCTTTCCCTTCCTCCCCCACAACAAACACTCTGTGAGGTGAGTGAGGCTGAGAGACTTCAGAGAAGTGTGACTAGCCCAAGGTTACTTCCAAGTAAACATGTATAAGATCCTGTCAATATTAATATTAATATTAATAGAGTTAGTCTATGAAACAGAAATATTGACGGTACATTTCCTCCCATATATATTTTCTAAATTTAGAAACTTTTGGAAATGTCTTCATTACTTCCCAGGAATGCACAAACACAATACATCTCTGGTTTTGTGGATCAGTCAATTAAAGAAAAACATTTTTTTCGTTCTATAATTATGCACGAGGGGAGGCAGATCCCGAGTGCAATGGGTTATAATTCCCTGTAATTAAGTCAATGGGTTGCATCTAACTACATTTTATTCAGAGTAGACCCACTGAAATTAAGTAAGCAAACATTAGTGTCAATGGGTCTACTCTGAGTAAAACTAATGCTGGATGTAACCCAATACGACTATTATTATTAAATTTCTAAAGTGGCACATAGCTATCCACCACTATGGGTAAGTCCAAGGTCAAGGGTCACATCATAGAGGAAACTTTGCTGAGGGCTCTGTTCAACCTGGTGCTGTCTATCCCATTGCTGTCTCCTCTGAGTGGCAGCTGTTTCCCAGTGTTAGGCAGAGCCTATTGAAGCCATAGTACTCAGGATCCTTTGAGTGGAGATGCCAGGCTAAAGGTAATGGTAAAGGACCCCTGGATGGTTATGTCCAGTCAAAGGCGGCTATGGGATGTGGTGCTCATCTCGTTTTCAGGCTGAGGGAGCTGGCATTTGTCCACAGACAGCTTTCCGGGTCATGTGACCACCAGGACAAAACCGCTTCTGGTGCAACAGGACACTGTGATGGTAGCTAGAGAGCACAGAAATGCTGTTTACCTTCCCACCACAGCAGTACCTATTTATTTACTTGCATTGGTATGCTTTTGAACTGCTAGGTTGGCAGAAGCTGGGGCAGAGCAACGGGAGCGCACCCTGTCACAGGGATTCAAACCACCAACCTGGACTGAAACCTGGATTACATGTTTTACATTGAAGATTCCAGGTTCCGACTGGGATGTTTGATGCAAACCATGTGCTCTGTAGCTGACCTGTAAGTTTTAAGATAGCAATAGTTTTGTTTACTTTAAAGAGATGTCCAGTAGAAATTATCTGTATTTATTCTATGTGCAGTAGCTGACCCTTGCTTTCCTTACTGAGTTTTGTTGGACTTTTTCACCAACACAGAGTGTGCGCAGGGACTGGAGCGTATAAATAAAAGGCTGTCTGCAATATCTTTGCTTAGTTTTATTTTCAAAAACATAACAGCCAAAAACTGCAAGCCATCACCACCCCTCACCAGAAGCTTACAAAACATTTGATCAACTTAAATACAGTTTCAAATAATCAATTATCCTATCACATCCCTTCCTGCATCCAGTGCAGAAAGTAACTCCCCTTTCTAATTAGGCAAAAAGTCAAGAGACCACAGGTGTA